TTCGGCAGCCCCGCGAAGCAGGGCGATCATTGGGCGCCAAGTGTCGACGGTCGAACGGCTAGCTCTCATGAGTCACGAGGAGGTCGAGAGGAGGAGGCTCGGGAACCGAGGACCGCCCCAGCGCCATAGGCCAAAGTAGGCCGCCGCGGGAACCGCACAGTGAGGGGCGTGCCAGATGCGGGCGAGCAGGGCAGGCTCAGACGAGATCAGATGAGCAGGAGCAGGGACACATTGAGCGACATAATATAGAACCGAAACGCACCTCGCCGAGTAATTCAACGCACTGGCGGTCTGGCGGTGGTGAGGGCGCCTTGCGTAGCCATCAAATGTGTGCGAGGCCGGAACTTCTGGATCGGTGGCCCCCAACTTTCTAGCTATACCTGTGGACCAAGACGAAGCCCCATATATACCAACTGCGAGACAATGTCGGATGCTTCCCACTCTGGGATGTGAACACGAATCCATTGGCGACAGCGGTCGGCAAGCTCAGGGGAGAACTCCGCGGAGAGGAGGGTCAGCTTGCACTTGCTCGATGTCAAAATGGGGAAAGCGACGCGGGTGGCGACCGAGAAGACCCGATGAAGTACCTTGAGGACCTCGATGCGGAGGATGGCGGCGCCGACCTCGTCGGCGCAGGCGCGGGTCACCCCTTTGTTCCGCTGGTTCACGCAGCGATCGAAGTCCTGCATGAACGGGTCTGCGCACAGGACGAACAAGAAACCAGAACCAGGACACCCTTGCATGATGCCGCTCTGGACAAAATAAAGAAGCTGTTGGACAGTCGTCGCCGCCGACAGGCATTGCACACATCGGTAGAGCTCAGCGAAGAACCATCGAACGGCCGCTGGCAATTGCATGCGATGTAGAACCAAGCGAATCCAACCATGGGCCACGCTTGGGAAGGCCTGCTGGAGTTCAAAGCTGGGCAGGGATGGCATGGCTACAGACGCGTTCGGCTGCATGGAAGAAGCTCTGGGTAATGCGTCCATCTGGATAATGTCGTTGCCGAATTTTCTGGTGGAAAGAAAGCCCCTCTGAATCGAGTTGGTGCTGGACGGGGGGAGTCTCGAGGGCCTTCGAATGACCACATATGTGACGATGTTGTTGTCTGCGTTTTGAAATCCAAGCGGGCGCAAGTTTGCAGGGGCACTACTGCAGCCCAGAGGGGGTGCCCTCCTCCTCCGAACCCTTCGGGGTGATGATGGCCAAGAGATCTTTGTACCCAATCGGCATCGGCCGCTCAGCCAAGATCCACCACATAACCCCATATGCAAGAAAGATGTCAGCGGAGTGTTAGGCCTTCTGGAACTCTGTAATGGAGGCCGTCGGGGCCAGGAACGGAATGAGGAAGACGGTTGAGATACCTCTGAACGTCCGTGAGGCTCGGGGGCTGGGTCCCTGACGTGCCGAGGGACGGGCAGAAGCGGGACAGGTAGACATTCGCTTCGTTCTCGTCAGCCACCTTGGGGAGAAAGACGTCCCTCCAGTGCTCGGAAATCGCTGCTGACATCCTTTGCGGGGACGAGACAATCTGACCGCTTTAAGCTCGCACCCCTGCGAGCGTGGTCCTGGTATCGGCTGGAACCCACAATTTGGCGCGGTAGGGGGGGGCGCCGCAGCCTCTTCCTCAACTTCGCCTTGGCCGCACAAGGCGATGGAAGATGATTGGCTGCACCCAACTCGTTGCGGAGCGAGATCTGCTGGCTCTCCGCGTCGGCGAACTGCAGCTTTTCAAGAGCAACAGAAAAACGTGCAGGATCCCGCAGAACCACTCGATCATCCTCTCGAACCCCTAACTGTTCTTGAACTAATGGGTAACGAAAGAGACGCGATGCGAATATATGATCTTGACGCCAAACAACCCTAGACATAGATCTCATGAGGAGCAGCTTGGAGGCGAGGCTGTTGGGGTCCTTCCCGAGGAGAGCATTACGAGAGTAACGGGCGCCTTCACGAAGCACCGTCGCGCGAGCCTGTGGGGAGCCGAGAGACCCGTGGCATCCTCCTCCTCCTCCTCCTCCTCCTCCTCCTCCTCCTCCTCCTCCGCCTCCGCCTCCGCCTCCTCCTCCTCCTCCCTCTCCTCCTGCTCCTCCTTCCTCCTTCTCCTCCTCCCACTTCTCCTCCACCCCATCCACCTCCTCCTCCTCCTCCTGATCCACCTCCTGCTCCTGCTCCCGCTCCTGCTCCTGCTCCTGCTCCTCCTCCTCCTCCTCCTCCTCTTCCTCCTTCTGCTCCTCCTGAACTTCAGCATAAAAGTGAGCGGAGCGTAAGACACCGAACGGGGCTCACTCAGTAATGGCGAGTGGCCAGGGTTAGGTCGGACATGTTCTCCTACAGGCGGATTTTGGAGGACACAGAATCGTAATGTAGTTATTCAAACATAATCAAAAAGCGATGACGACAAATCGTCCCTGACTATCTTTGAGAGAGCGTGATCCACCGCCGCTTTACTGTGGAAAATTGCCCCCCTCTTCGTCCGGAACCCGGAAGTCCCCCCCCCCCCACCCCGAACCGACCCTCCCCCCCTCCCCGGCAAACCCCCCCCCTCGAGATCCCCTAACCCCCCCCCCCCCTTCCCCCTCGAAAACCGGGGGGGGTCACTACCGGTTCGAACCCCCCCCCCCTCGAAAACCGGAGGGGGGGTCACTACCGGTTCGAACCCTCCCCACCCCCCCCACTCACCGCCAGCAAACGACTCCCGGTCCCTACCACCGTCCGCGCCACATCCCCCACTGTTGTTCCCAGCACCACTGTCCTCACCACCACTGCCCCCACTGGTTCCACCACCGTCCATACTGTCCCCACCAGTGTTCCCACCACTGTCGCACTGTCCCCACTGTCCCCACCACTGTTCCCACCACGGTTCCACTCTCCCCACTTTCTCCACGGCCCCAACCACTGCCCGACTATCCCCACTGTCCCCACTGTCCCCGCTGTCCCCACTGTCCCACTGACTCCTCCGCTGTCTCACTGAGCTGTCCCACTGTTCCCACCACTGTCCCCACTGTCTCCACCACTGTCCCCACTGTACCTCTGTCCCATTGTCCCACCGCCGTCCTCGCCACCGCCTTCACCACTGTCCACACCACCACTGTACCCTCCACTGTACCACTGTTTCCACCTCCCCCTGTCTCCACACCAATGTCCCCACCACCACCGTCCCCACCACTGTCCCCACTGTCCACTGTCCCCACTGTTCGCACCATTGTCCTCACCACTGTCCCCACCACTACAGTCCCCACCACTGTCCCACTGTCCCCATCACTGTCCTGCTGTCACCTCACCACTGTCCCCATCACCACCGTCCCCACCACTGTCCGCACCCCCCCTCGGTTTTCGAGGAGGGGGGGGGGGGTGTTCGAACCGGTAGTGACCCCCCCCCGGTTTTCGAGGGGGGGGGGGGGGTTCGAACCGGTAGTGACCCCCCCCCTTTTCATGATGAACTGGGGGGGGAGGGGTTCGAACCGGTAGTGACCCCCCCCCAGGTTTTCCGGAAGGGGGGGAGGGGGAGGGGTTCGAACCGGTAGTGACCCCCCCGGTTTTCCGCCAGCAGCGGTAGAACACGCTCTTTCCTATCTTTGAACCGTTCTCGAACACTCTTCTGTAGAGGGACATGCCCGACTTAAGGCCAGGCGTCAGCTCAGCGTGGAGAAACTGAGGCCCTCGGCTTTGAATCGGCTGCACGCAAGAGTGACCCTGGGCAAGAGTGACCTTTGGTGCGCAGCGTTTTGGGGGCCGCGGGGTGGCCAAACACAGGCGCGCAAGACGCCACCAGCGCATCTCGTTCGGCGATCGGGGACACCCAATGTAATGTGCCCGCACCCAAGGTCACTCTGGCGAAAGGTCATCTTATCGAAGGAGTAGTAGTAGTAGTAGTAGTAGTAGTAGTAGTAGTAGTAGTAGTAGTAGTAGTAGTAGTAGTAGTAGTAGTAGTAGTAGTAGTAGTAGTAAGTAGTAGTAGTAGTAGTAGTAGTAGTAGTAGTAGTAGTAGTAGTAGTAGTAGTAGTAGTAGTAGTAGTAGTAGTAGTAGTAGTAGTAGTAGTAGTAGTAGTATTGGTAGTAGTAGTCGTAGTAGTAGTCGTAGTAGTAGTAGTAGTAGTAGTAGTAGTAGTAGTAGTAGTCGTAGTACTGGTACTAGTCGTCGTCGTCGTCGCCGTCGTCGTCGTAGTAGTAGTAGTAGTAGTAGTATCGTAGTAGTAGTAGTTAGTGCGTAGTTAGTAGCTAGTACTGTAGTAGTAGTAGTAGTTAGTAGTAGTAGTAGTTAGGAGTAGTAGTAGGAGTAGTCTAGTAGTAGGAGGAGGAGAGGAGAGGTGGAGGAGGAGGAGGAGGAGGAGGAGGGGAAAGGGGAGGAGGGAGGGAGGGAGGAGGGAGGAGGCGGAGGAAGAGGAGGAGGGGAAAGGGGGAGGAGGGAGGAGGGATGGAGGAGGAGAGGGAGGAGGGGGAAGGGGGGGGGAGGGAGGAGGGAGGAGGAGGAGGAGGAGGATGGGAGGAGGAGGAGGAGGAGGAGGAGGAGGAAGGAGGAGGAGGAGGAGGAGAGGCGGAGGAGGGAGGAGGAGGAGGAGGAGGAGGAGGAGAAGGAGGAGGAGGAGGAGGGGGGAGAGGGAGGCGGGGGGGGAGGGGGGAGGGGGAGGAGGAGGAGGAGGAGGAGGACGACGACGGGACGAGGAGGAGGAGTAGGAGGAGGAGAAGGAGGAGGCCTAGTCGACTGAGTTGTCCCGGCAGCCTGCGGCCCCCTGCTGCGGGGCGCCGCCCCGAGGCCCCCGCCTCCTGGCACCCCCCGCGCTCGGCCGCGCGGCTCCTGGTCGCACCGGAACCTCCGGAACTCCTGGACGACCTTCACTGCGCCGGCGCGGGTCAGGGTTCCTCGCGTGGGGGGGGAGGAGAAGCGAGGAGGAGGGAGGGAGAGGATCCCCCTCCTCACACCCAGCTGCTGCTGCTCGTCCTCCTCCTCCTCCTCCTCCCACCTCCTGCTCCTCCTCGTCCTCGTCCTCCTCCTCCTCCTCCTCCTCCTCCTCCTCCTCCTCCTCCTCCTCCTCGCTGTCGTGGTGCGTCGTCTTCGGGTGGAGCTTGCATTTCCTAGGGTGCTGGGCGCAGCTTGATGCTACTTGTCCCCCGACGTCGTGATACGACTTCCTCGAGTGGATCGTGCTGCGATGCTGCGCATCGCGATTGGATGCGTTTCCTCGGGTGATGCTTGATGCAAGAGCGGTCAACATCGAATCGGGAACTCGGATCGGAACGCGCGTAGGATCGGGGTGCATCGGCACGCAGCCGACACCGACTCGGCTCGGCGCAGCAGGATGCACAACAGCGCTATGAAAGCAACAGGCCGCCGCGAATCGTCGGAATACCGTAGAAACGAAACGGATCGAGCTGGCCAGAGTCGATATCGAATTGGATCGGGCGGATCGCTATGGACCCTCTGAGCGGTCTTGCTCCACACCGTCCTGATGCAGTTCCCTCGGGTGAGGAGGAAAGAGGAGGAGGAGGAGGAGGAGGAGGAGGAGGAGGAGGAGGAGTAGGAGGGAGGAGGTAGGAGGAGGAGGGAGGAGAAGGAGGAGGAGGAGGACGAGGACGATGACGAGCAGTCTGGTGCCACTCCCGAGAGGGACCCGCCCAGGCAGCATGACGGGCGAGCCCTTCGCCCTGCCTGAGTAGAGGTACCAGCCATCGCTGAGGCTGTGTAAGACCACAGCATCATCCCTCATCTGCCCTTCCTCGTTCCCTCCCTCCACTGCTCATCCCCTCCTCCTCCTCCCTCCTCCTCCTCCTCCTCTCATCCTCATCCGTCATCCGATCCTCAGCCTCATCATCACCATCCATTCATCATCATTCATTCATCATCATCATATCAATCATCATCTTCTTCATCACCCTCATCTTCATCATCATAATCATCATCATCAGCATCATCGTCATCAATAATTCACCGTATCATCAATCGAACAATCACCATAATCATATCATCATCATCCATCCTCCTATCCTCATCCAATCATCATTCATCATCATCATTATTCCTCGTCATCATCATCATCATCATATCATCATCCTATTCTCATCATTATCATCATCATCATCATCATCATCATCATCATCCATCCTCATCCTCATCCTATCATTCATTCACATCCTCATCCTTCATCCTCCACCTCCTCCTCCTCCATACCTCCACCTCCTGCACCCGTCCATACCGGCCCCTTCTAATTACTCAGATTTACTTAATCTGAATGTCCAAAATAATTCCCCATCTTCCAGCACCTATCTTCCTTTTAGATAACGCCTTCTTGTCTGACCACCTGGCGGAATGGTACGGTGGGCTGGGTGGTTTGCTTGAAACTTCTCATCCGTCTATGGCCCCGAGGCTAGAAACTAACGGTTATGCGGATGGAGGGGGTCAAACTGTGGCTCTGGCCTCAGCACCGCGCACGTTCGCACCACAAGTCTCCAACAATTGCACGAATGAAGGGCGGTTCCGCTTAACATTGTGGCTCTCGCCTTCACGCCGCGCAGGCTCGCCGTAAATATTTCCAACAGTTCCACGGATGGCGGGGGATCGTTTTCAAGAAATTGCTCTCGTTCCAAGGCCGCGCTCTGTTTTCGTCAAGGCATCCGACACCTACACGGATGGAAATAGGTTGCGTTTCAAAGTATGGGCCTCGATTGTGACAGACGCCCTCAACAGCTAAACGGATGAAGGGCGGCTCCTTTTCAAGGCGGGGCTCTCGCTTTAGACTTCCTCAGGCATTGGGACAGGACGTGCAAGTTCGGAGGGAACCTGAACGGATGGAAGGCGGCTCGTTTTCAAAGAGGGGCGATGGCTGGACACTAATTCGCCAACCCAATGGGCCAAGAGGCGTGCTAAGATCTTCGGTAACTGCTTTACAGTATGTTCCAAGACAGCCCAAGAGGGCCCCTAGAGCGCCCCAAGAGCGGCCCCAGAGGGAGAGCACGAAACAACATTTCGAGCCCTCGGTCCTGAGAGGCCTCCAGGAAGCCCCAAGAGGCCCCTAAGAGGCCCCAAGACGCCCCCAAGAGCCCTCAGGAGGCCCCCAGGAAGCCCCCACGAGGCCCCCAACAGGCCCGGGGAAGGGGGGAAGGCCTCTTTGAGGGAGGCGGGTTCTTCGAAGGCGCCGGCCTCCCTTCTGTAGACGAGGCCCGCAACTTCTAAGAACCAGCCTCTTTCTAAGAAGCCCTCCCCCACACCCCCCTCTGCGCGTGGCCGAGCGGCGGTAGCGCAGAACGAGCAGCAGCCGCCACAACGGGGGAACAGAGGGAAACAGCGCGACACCGATGCCGCTGCTACCCGGACCTCCTCGGATGCTTTCTGACCAGGACCTCGGGGCGAAGATGACCGTGGCGACGGGGGACGGGCAGCGGACAGTGATGTCGCCGCCGTTTCCTCCTCTGACGAGCCGTGTGGCCAGACTACCTACCAGACCACCCCAACCCAACCCGAAGACCCGAATTTGACCCTAATTTCGGGTTGGGGGGGTACGGGTTCCATGTGTTTTTTCAGTGTTCCCCGACCCCCCCCAACCGGAAATGGAGGGCAAATTGAAGCCTTCGGGTTGGGTTGGGGTGGTTTGGTGAGTGGTGATGCCCAGACATCCTCCGATCTGATGTTTGCAATCCGAGGCCCCAAGTGGTCACGACCCCTTGCCTGGGGGCGGTTTCGCGCCGAATCCGTCTCGAGCTGTCCCCGGACCCGACACAACGGGCCCCGGAGGCCGCACACAAGAAAAAACGCCCGTCTTGAAAAAATATGTCTCCAAAGATCTGGAAGACCGTGCCCAGACCACCGACATCATGATTTTGTCGCAACGTCGACCCCCGGAGGTCTCGACCGACTCAGCAGGACCAATTGTTCATCCCGAATATTTTTCCACTGGGCCCCCAGAGGCCAAAAACTTTCAGAAAACCTCCCGTCGTGTTTTTGTGTCCGCGACGCGAGCATGCCTGGAAAAAACCTAGAACCTTCGGGGCCTCAGAACCGCGTGCTGACGGACCGCGTGGTAACCTCGGAGCCCTCAACGACCTCACCGTGCACCCCGTCGGTTCTGGGACCCTGGAGGCCCCAGTCTTTGGGTGACCCAGAAGGGGGTCCAGCTGCAAGGGGTTGGTGCAATAGATTTGGGGCAATTGCATTGCAAATGTACTGCGCCCAAGAATCATATTGCACTGCATTGCAGCTGATGTATTGCACGCGGAGATCCAGCAATACATTTGCGCCCCGGAATGTGTTGCACGCCCCGAACGTATTGCAACCCTACAAATCTATTGCACCAAATCGACTGCGCCACCCCCTGGTCGCTGGACCCCCTTTTGGGTCAACCCGACCCTCGGAGAACGGACCGAGCCCCAAAACCGTCCGGTGACCCTCCGTGCCCACTGGCTGGGGGCCCCCCGGAGCAGCACTGGCGGTGGCGTCGGCGGCAGTCCGTGGGGACACCACAGGGCACCGGTGCCGCTACTCCCTGGACCTCTTTGGCGGTGCGCAGAGGGGGGTAGGGGGAGGGGGAAAGGCTTCTCAGAAGCACCCCTGCTTCTTAGAAGGTGCCGGCCTTCTCTGTAGATGTAAGGCCGGCGCCTTCTAAGAAGCAGCCTCCTTCTAAGAAGCCTTCTCCCCTCCCCCTACCCCCTTCTGCTCCCCGCCAACCTCTCTCGGGGTGCGTTCTGACCAGAATTTCGAGGCGAATCCAGCGGCGGCGACGAGGGCCTCCCAGGACGCCCATTGAGGCGAACGCGAGGCGATGGTAGCGGCAGGGGTGCCTGGTTCCTCCTCGAGCGCGTTTCTTTATTTTCGGCCAGAATGGGCTTTGTAGGGGGGGGAGGGGCCAGGGGGGGTATGTTGTAACGCCTCCCCCCCGCCGTGTGCCCAATGCGCACGGCAGCAGTGCCTGGAGCGCACTGGGGGGGAGGGGCATTACGTCATAGGGGGGGGGGAGGGAGCTATAATGCCCACTATGGCCCAAGCAATAAATGCGAGGCGGGGATTTATCCATATCCACCGCCTGGGAACCGACGCCCTGGTGCCCCAGCGAGCGGTGGATCTGGATATATTTCGGCCCCCGGGGAGCCCGAAAATGCCCAGATCCACCGCCTGCCGAGGCTCCGAAACTCACCCTCCAGGCGGTGGACATGGACAAAGTTCCCGCCTCGGAATAAAGAAACACGCACGAGCCCGCTCTGAGGAGGAGGAGGAGGAGGAGGAGGAGGAGGAGGAGGAGGGGGGAATTGGAGGAGGAGGAGGAGGAGGAGGAGGAATAAGAATAAAGAAACACGAACAAGCCTCGCTCCTCCCCCCCCCTCCTGGATATGGATAATTTCCTGCCTCTGAGCCCGGGTCCGGAGAAGCGCACGAAGCGGCCCTGGTCGGCCACGCGCAGCTGCGACACCGAGGGCACGGCGAAGTCGCCCGCGGGGACGCCGGCCAGGCGCACGCGGGGCACCTGGCGCGCGGGGGGGGGCGCTGCGGGAGGCCCGCGGAGGCCTGCTGCGGCGCACGAGGCCGAGAGGCAGGCTCTGTGCCACGCGGCGACTCGCCGTCCTCCTCCTCCTCCTCCTCCTCCTCTCCTATCCTCCTCATCCTCCTCTCTCCTCCTCCTCTCCTCCTCTCCTTCCTCCTCTTGAGTCCTCCTCCCCCCTCCCCCTCCTCCCCCTCCCCCCCCCTCCAAACTTAGCGTGCTCACTGTTTCACCCCATATTTTCCGTGTCATCCCTCTTTCTGCCAACGCACCATGACGTGCACGGCGCCTGTTTGTCTGTCATCCACTCGCCATCGCTCAGACGTCCATTCCCTGTTCAAAATGTTTGCTTTCGCTTCGCACGTGCATGGACGAAAAATTCAAGTAGTCAAAACATACTCCAAAAAATATCAAAAGTGGCGAAAATCGTCACCTGACATTTTTGAACTATTTTTGAATATTCCTGCTGTAAAAGGACAGGCCCGACTTAATCCTGGATGGTCCTCGCCGAGAAACAAAACGTGCACGCGTCCGAGCGATGCCAAGGCGAGGCCCGACGGCCCAGGACGCAGCGGAGCATAGCACGGGACGCACAAAAACATACAAGTCCTGTATGTCATCTTTGGAGGCGCACGTCCGACCCAAACATATAGTATACCCATCTTGTAGTATATCGTTTCTCCAGCGGTGTGGCCAGAAAGCGCCCGCCATGACGCATATACCAGAAGACGTCTCGGTGCGCGCATCGCCCCCGGGGGGCGACGCACATATAGTACAAGTATGTTGGGGTGACGCCGATGGCATGCCGCGGCTTGGAGGCTCATGTAAATGTCGGCTTCAACTCCTTCGGGCAAAGGGTCCGTGGCCGCAGCGGCCTCTTGTACGGAAGGGGCTCGACCACGGGAAACCTCCCACCAAGACAACCCAACCCGAAACCCCAGGACGTTCCTTGATTGCTTCTCCGGGAACGCCACGCCTCCCACAGCAAAACCATCGAAGCCAAAGAAAACCAGGGCACCCTGGAGACAAGCAAGGTGCTTCTTGGCGTGGGCCAGCACTGCACGGAAGGGGCTGGCGAAAAAGCTCCAGACATGGAAGACGGAAACTCGCTGCAGGCTACGATGTTGAAACTCAGCGGCCAGCCGAGGCTGGAAGAAGGAGGAGGAGGAGGAGGAGAAAGAGGAAACCGGCGCCCCTGGGCTGAGACGAAAGCCAATTCGCACTAGCTGGTACACTGGGCCGATCACTGGAGGGCAGACCCAGCAATCCAGGCGGGTCGAGGTGCACACCAATCCGTAGAGGGCAGACATGCACGTTTTCCCCCAGGGCCGTAGACGACCTGAGGAGGAGGAGGAGGAGCAGGAGGAGGAGGAGGAGGAGGGGGAGGGGGAGGAGAATGGAGGAAGGAGGAGAGATGGAGAGGAGGAGGAGGAGGAGGAGGAGGGAGGAGGCGGAGGAGGAGGAGATGGGTAGGAGGAGGAGGGAGGGAGGAGGAGGAGGAAGCGGAGGAGGAGGGGAGGAGGGAAGAGGAGGAGGAGGAGGGGCGGAGGAGGAGGAGGAGGAGGAGGAGGAGGAGGAGGAGGAGGACGGGTCGCCTGAGCCCTTCGGAGCAACCCTCCAGGCAGACAAAGACACGCTCGCGTCGCGAAGAACAACACAGCGGGCGGCTTTCGGACGCCTTTGGCCTCGGGGGGCCCTCGCCGGGCCCCAGGGACAGCAAAAGACAACTGGAAGTGAAAAACCGGCCCTGGGGACCCAAACCCCCGACGGAGTGATTTTTTCACAACGTCGACCCCCAGGACCGGTATCTCGTCCCGAGCCGTTGTTTGACGGTCCCGAGTCCCCGCGAAGGAATCCAGAGGCCGAAGATAGCGAAAAACCTCCCGTCGTGAGTTCTACACGACGCGAGGGGGTCTGGGGAAAGGCTCGGGACTTCCGGGGACAACGCATGGGAAAGATCCGAAGATCGGGAGAGCACACCCCTTAAACGGCCCAGCTGGCCGTTCGCGCGCGCCGTGGTGCCGCACGGGCCGGGTGGCCCTCTGCCTCCCGGTGCTTGCGCCGTCGGCCCTGCGCGCGCAGGCGCCCTGCCGGCTGGTGCCCTACAACCGATATTTGCGGCGTTTGCGCGTGAGCAGCCCCGCTATCAGAAATCCAGGGGCACGTTTGTCGACCGACTTCTGGGACTCCAACAGGGGAGCCAACATGAATGGCCCCTCCTTCTGGATGGATGTCACCCAACATGGTCCCAAAAAGGATCCCAAGGCCCCCAAGAGGGCCCCGACAAGGCCCCAAGAGCCCCCTCAGAGACCCCCAGCACGCACCCAATAGGCCCCAAGATGCCCCTAAGAGCTCCCAATATGCCCCCAAGACACCATCTCTCAGCTTCTTAAGGCGCCTCAAGGTTTCTGCGGGTCCCCATAGCCATCGGTGGCGAGAAGCTTCCGTGGGGCACATGCTGGCATGCTAGCTTCATAGTTGATGCACCTGGTGTATGCTTAGTGCCCTGTCAAAAGATGTCCCAAAAATGAATGGCATTGCCAATGTACCTCGATACCGGAACCGTCGATCGAGAATCCGACGCCGATACCGACGCCCATCGATGACCGTCTTACTCAGACATCGGCCCCTGGACTCGTCCTGGGGTGCGTTCTGGCCACAACCTCGATGCGGATCCGGCCGTGGTCACGAGGGCGCCCTCAGATTGGCCCAAACATGTTCCAAAAGACATCGGTCCTCGAATCCTCGAGCCCTGGAACCCTCCACGACGACGACGACGACGAGGACGCCGACGACGAGGACGACGACAACAACGACGACGACGACGACGAACGACGAACGACGAACGACGAACGAACGACGACGACGACGACGACGACGACGACGACGACGACGACGACGACGACGACGACGACGACGACGACGACGACGACGACGACGGACGACGACGGCGCGGCGCGCGGCTGGCGGGCGTGCCGGCGGCGGGCGGCGGACGACGAGCCACGATGGAAACAACGACGCGACGACGACGACGACGACGACGCCGAACCACCGACGCGACGACGACGAGACAGGAGGACGGACAACGACGGAGAGGACGAGACCCGCGGCGCGCCGGCGGCCGCGCCGGGGCCGAAGTGCACGGCGCTCCGCGGCGGCGGGAGCGCCGCTTGCCGCTCTTTGCCAGGGCTTGCCCCTAGGAAACTACGTAGGCCTCCCTACCCCGGTGGCGATTTGCCGCCGCTGCGGCTGGGCGGTCGTCGTCGCTCGCGGGTTGCCGTCGTCCGGCGTCGTGTTACGATGGCGACGTCGTCGTCGTTGCTGTCGGCTTTCGTGTGTCGCGCGCACCGAGCTTGTGGGTGGCCGGCGTGCGGATTTGAACGCAGGGTTTTGTGAGAAAAGGACGGAAGGGGAGGAGGAGGGGGCGGAGGATGTGCGGAAGACATGAGGACGCGCGGAGGTCGGTGGATGAAGAGGCGAGGAGAAGGGGGAGAGGAGGAGGGAGGAGGCGGCGGAGGAGGAGGAGGAGGAGGAGGAGGCGGAGGAGTTTTTTTCCCGCGCAACAATGTTCCATCCCAGGTCCGTAATCCGTAATCTGTGCCAGCAGCGCAACAGCAGGCCATGCCTGCCAGCGTAGAAATCCGTGCAGGAGGGGGGAGCAGCGGCAGCAGAGGAGCAGCGAAGGAGGAGAGAAAGGACAGGGTACTTGACGCCCGTGCACAACGCGTGGCCGATCTTCGTCCACCCGCGGGAGGTGCCGAGGTACCTCGCGCGCGGGGCGGGGCGGGGCAGCACCGCCCGCTACCGATCCTCCCGCACGAGAGTCCTCGGCAGCGGGGGGGCGCACTCGGCGACGGGGGAGGACAGAGTCCATGCCCCACAAGCCTCGGGCGCTTGCAACCCAGGCCACCGTCACCACGACCCACAACCCAGGCACGAAACACGCCTAGACAAAATCGAGAGGCAGGCGCCCTACCTCCCAGCGAGGCGCAACGGGCACAGTTGAACAGGTCGTCGACGGGGCGGGCGGCGGGGGCGGCAGGGAGCGGCGGGGCGGGTGCACGCACGCCCCCGCGCGCGCTCCCCCAGCCAGGCGGGGGCCCAACCCCAGCAGCAACAGCACACGCACAGCGGAGCACAAGCAGCAGGAGGACCGAGGGGGCGGGCCGGAAGAAAGGCAGGGGAAAGAGGGGAAGGCAGGGGCGGGAAAAACCGAGGACCCAACCACGCCCACCCCGCAGGGAAGGGGCAGCGGCAGAGGCAGGGAGACGGAAGAAAGCAAGCGACAGGAGAGACAAGGGAACACAGAGAGGAGCACTAGAGCACACGCGCGAGGGATGAAAGGGAGCGGTCACACTCAGACGACATCACTTCACGTGGCAGCCCGCTCAATACGCCGTGCCCTGAACTGTCGTGCAACACCAGTATACCGACGAGCCAGAAGACGCAATCGGGCAACGGAGACCTGGGACGAGGGGACCTGCGTCAGGCGCCGATGATGGGCATGTGTCTTCAGAAATGCATCGATGAAGGCAGCGCAGGCACCGTCGCGGTCGAGCCCCCAGGATGGTCCCATCAGACACAGACAGGTAAGCCAGGTATCTCGGTGCTGCCACATCTCCCTCCGCGGCGTGGGTAATGCTTCCAACCCAGGGAGACGGTGCAGTGCCAGGTCACGGAATCGATCACAGATTTTGTAGTGGTGAAGGTCATCGGGGGCCACACACCCAAAGCAGCACCCACGGTCATTCGCATGAAAACGCGCCGAAGTACAAACGCCCCTGGACAGTACACGGAGAACGTTGGTAGCAAGATGGGTGCACGTGGCACGCTCCACGGCGCGCAACCTAGTCCGCAGACGGAACATATCCTCGAGAGATGCTGCAACTAACCACCTCGATACCCGTACACCCAGACACAATAATGGAGTGGCAGCCATACGAAACGACCGTAAGTGCCGATGGACCTTAGCCTGGATAAGACGGG